AAAAAAAAAAAAAAAAAAAAAAAACACCTTAGAAGAAATGAAAAAGGAAAAGAAAAAATTCAAGCATTAGCTGCACCTTTCACTAGACCAGCAGAAATTAGCAGTACAGTTATCCAAGCTATCCTGTATATATACATGGATATAACTTTTTTTCTTCTTTCTTTGTCCTTTTCCTCATCCCAGTTTTTCCTTTCCTTTGAAAGGATTCTTTCCCTTAATATTTTTTGAACAAAGATTTATTAATCATAAAAATTCTTTCTCCTTCCTAGTTTTACAAGACAGCTAAAGATTGGTGGCTCTTCAGCTTCTATTTCTGCTTACCACTGGCCATTACTGCCTTGTTTTATACCCTGATGACCTGCGAGATGTTGAGAAAGAAGAGTGGCATGCAGATTGCTTTAAATGACCACTTAAAGCAGGTAAGGGGCGGCACAGCATGGGCAGCTCACCGCTATAAGTACGATTATGAAGATGAAAATGTTGGTGGTTGATAATGAAATAAAATTATGCATCACAGATTAGTTCATCTTGCATTTTTGAATCTTAAATAATATTTCATATTATCTACTTTAAAATAGTCTACATCATTCAAAAGGATCTAGAGGGCCACATAAATTTTAAAAGATGACTCTAGTCATTTTAGGTCTAATTTACATTAAGTATTTCATTAAAAATTCTGTAGCCTGAGTTTTTACAAATATCACTTTTGTAAATAACATTAAAGATTCTGCTTGAGAAGGTGTACACTCTGAATATGAAGAAGTTACAGTCGAGGGCCTGCCTGTGTTTTCATTTCAGAGGCGAGAAGTTGCCAAAACAGTGTTTTGCCTGGTCCTTGTCTTCGCACTCTGTTGGCTTCCCCTTCACCTTAGCAGGATTTTGAAGCTCACCCTTTATGATCAAAATGATCCCAATAGATGTGACCTTTTAAGGTAAGAAAATTAGAATGGAAATCAACCCTTTGACCGATAAATATCATGCACAAGTGTTTCCATTGATCTCATTCATAGGCAGAGACAGTGTCAATTTTCTAATCTTCAAGGACCAACTAAGACTCCCAATTCTACCTTCTCTCCTGTTTTTAGAGAGAGGAATAAGGGGGACCTATAAGAACACTGGGAACAAAGAGGCAGAGAAGTGAAAATGAGGAGCCAGTGGCAGGATTGAAAATACCACATCTAATTCTGCTTCACACTTGCAATTGCTCAGCATTTAGCACTTCTAAAGAGAGTTTAATTTAAAAGGAAGAGGAGAGGAAAACAGGAAAAAATGACAGCTCCCCACTAGAAAATTAGTGATCATTTCAGAACTTTGGACATGGGTATTCCTTTTCTTCACAAAAGTGTACAATGAATACATGCTCAGAGCAGAGTATTTTTCACAAACATATTTTGAGCTTTTAATTTGATTGCAGCTTTCTCTTGGTGATGGACTACATCGGTATCAACATGGCCTCCTTAAATTCCTGTATCAATCCAATTGCTCTTTACCTGGTGAGCAAAAGATTCAAAAACTGCTTTAAGGTAAGAGACTATTCCAATACAAAAAGTAATTTGCAGTTGGTAGAGTGTGGTGATAACCAAACCTGGAGAATGGTGGTTTGGAGTCCAGCCTTGGTAATGTATTGAGAGAGACCCTGTCTCAAAACTACAAAAGAAGAGCAAGGTTGGGTATATAGTTCAGTGGAAAGGCCTTGAGTTCAATCGCAAGTACAGAGGGGGGAAAGTACTCTGTAAGCTTACATCAAATAAAAGCTTTCAATACCATTAATATTTCTATCTGAAGAGATCTAGGAAATTGCTTTTCAGATTTCCCTTGCCTTATATTATAGTTGATTTTTAAAATATGACTTTGGCTTATATATCATTATAGCTCAAGTTTGCCCATACATCTTAGTCAGCCACTCTCTGCTGACTCAGTCAAGCAGTTATATTCCTGGAGTTGCTCAGGAAATTCATAAAAATTACATGCATTAATGTCTGACAGATGTCACATAAAAAATAAAAACTATACTTGATTAAATGTACTGTTTCTCTGTTCTGGGAGATTTTGGGCTATTTGCTCACAATTTATATTATAATAAGTCAGCCCCTCCCTCACATGGCTTATGAAATCAAGCAATGAAATCTGAATCAAGGGGGTGGGGAGATAGCTCAGTGGAATAAGTGCTTGCCTGGCAAGCACAAGGCCCTGAGTTTGATCTCTGGTACCACCAAATAATAATAATAATAAATAAATAAATAAATAATAAATAAAATCTGAATCAAGATCTACATTTGGTTTTCCATAACTGTATAACAGAAATGTGCTGTTCCATGCCGAATACATCTCATCAGACATACAAAGACAATGAGGACTTAGTGGCTTGCATTGAAACAACCATTCATCCACCCACTAGCTCCTTCCACAATCCAACATAAAATAAAATACACCCTCCCTGTAAGTGAGGAGGATCCATTGTTCCTGGAGTTCAGTATTGGAAAGCCCAATACTTGGCCTCTTTCTGAACAGTCTACAAAATTAATTGGCTACTCATTGTTCAGGTTTTGGAGCTAGAAGAGCATTTCTCTCAAGAATAACTTCCTTATTTTACGGAATTGGAAATAGTTAAGCACCTATTTCCTGGCATACATAGTTTCTCATTAAACAAATAAAGTGATCCCGGTTTTGGATTTTCAAAAATTCAAATGAACGCAACTCGCATTCGCAAGGACACTTGCAAACTTTATACCTTTATTGTGCGACAATACTAAGAAGGCGTGTGAGAAAAATGTGTGGCTGAGGAAAACAGAAAATTAATAGTGAATTCAGTGACATGGAGTGATGCCTATGGCACTACCAAGTGAGAAAAAGCAGATTGTGATTATACGTACAATACAATCTCATTAAAACCAACTAGTCATCTCTGAACTACTACTAGGAAGACAATATGCAAAGTATTAATTATTGTAACTCTCCTACTGACCTGTTTTGAAACTCCACTTTACTGTTATTCTTTTCTTCTTAAAATAAAAAAGAAAAGGAAATACTAGCCATACACTCATAAATACATACATACATATAGTCATGAATGTGGTAATATTTCCATTTGCAAGGCAGAAAGTTTTAAAAATCTGCATTTGCCAGCTATTAAGAATGCACATCAGGTAATCAAGAGTAAGTATTGAAAATTAAAAATGTAGGCCAGAGGAGATAGCCCAGCGGTCTAAGCACCTGCTGGCAAGCTCAACAACTCAGCTTCAATTTCCGGTATCACATGCCATACCAGCTGGGCCCCAGGCATGCTAAGCCATCCACTGCGTCTGGACGTGGTGGTGCATACCTGTAATCCTAGCATGGAGGAGGCTGAGATAGGAAGATCACTGCATGTTGGAGCTACGTAGTGAGACCCTGTACCAAATACACAAATAAATAAAAAGATTACAGTAGTAATAAAAAGAATTAAGAGTGTATTTATCTTAGTAGGAAATATTAACTGCAATTTTTATTCTGTCTTAGTGAACAAATTATCATATACCTCTAACTAATTAAATCTTAAAGGGAAAAATAAGAGAGTAGAAAGACAAGGACCAAGAGCTCACACTCCTGCAAGGAAAGAGCCCTAGAGCAGCAGGAGGAGTGGGGACAGTGTGACTAATGCCGATGTGTAACAAGTTGCTTTGTTTTGTACAGTCATGCTTATGCTGCTGGTGCCAGTCATTTGAAGAAAAGCAGTCCTTGGAGGAAAAGCAGTCATGCTTAAAGTTCAAAGCTAATGATCACGGATATGACAACTTCCGTTCCAGTAATAAATACAGCTCATCTTGAAAGAAGGAATATTCACTTAATCTCATGTTCTCTATTGGACAGAAGTCATTGAAACAAAATGATATATTTGGCAAAAGAAAAACAAAAAAACTATGTTTGCACAAAAACCACATAAAGTTGTAAGAGGGATCATTTTAGCACTCATAATTCTACCTGACATTTAATGGACTGTTTATAGCATGAGGAGAAGTGAGAATTAAGAAAGGCTCTTTGTGAAAGCACTTAAGTTTTTACAGTTAGCACTTCAATATAGCTCTCAGTAGCTTCCAGTTTATTCATACACCACTTGCATTAAAGAAACAAGCTCACTCAGAATTCCTGTTGAAGAGTTTTATTCTTAAATCATGTGACTCTGTAGGAAGGAAATACAAAATTTCAAAAATCCTTCAAGAAATAACTTTTTGTGAACAGAATTATGTCAATGGTCAAAGTGTAATTAGGTGCAACGTGAAAATCAGCTCAAACCACTTATGTTTTTGCACAATAGAAACAATGAAATGACCATTAGAAAGAGAAATTGACACTGTTTATGAAAATCATTGTATCCTACATTCAGATAAGATCAAAGAAAGAGGGCTGTGAATTGCTAGTACAAGACTTCTTTGAACTATCCCATTCACATGGTTTGCAAAGAAAGAGTCCACACTGTCTACAACTTTGGAGACCATTAAAATCTTCTTTCACTCTTATAAACTCTATGTGTTTAGTTCTATCATCTGTGAATAGTTAGCTGCATACACTACCATGTAGATGATCAAATGAAGGGCAGGCCCCCCTGTTCATAGCTTTACGACCAAGAGACTCCATAAAGGACAAAATGTGAATTGCCTGGTGCAGTCTTCACATAGCAAAAGAGCAAGGAGCATCCTCTCACCCGTGGTCTCTAGCACAAGTACATTATAGGTGAAACACTGTTTTTCAAGTCACACAAATTAAGCAATTTAACAGAAACCTGTAAGGCTTATTACTAATTTTTGTATTATTTTTGTAAATAGTCCACAGAAAAGTATCTGGATGTGGTGTTTTTCTATCAGAGGCAAAGTTGCTTCTTAGGAAGATGAAGCACCCTCTTTATCTCTTTAATTTGTGCATTCTTGCCTAACTTTTTAATCTCCTCGGCAAAGTGCCTTAAGGTTAACTTGGGATGAAATGTGTGTGAAAATGTGTACGAGAGATATCAGAAGAGAGGAAATGAGGTGGGGTGGGAGGAAGCCCACGGGGACCGATTCCCACTCCGAGCCTGGAGTTCATCAGAGCCTTGTCACATCCATGCGGAAGGTCCTGATTTTGTCGCAGCAAAGCACAGCTCAGTTAGGAACAAATTAGACCCAAGAGCTTTAACTCTGTCTTAAAATATAACAGAATTTCCAGTCTTTTTTTCTTTCAGTAAACTCGGCCACATGTTGAAAATAAGCTAGGAATGTTGCTTTCTGCCAGAATCTAATGTGATGCTACAGTAAACCCAAATCCAACAATGTGGCCAAAAAGAAAGGACAATTAATTCACATGTCACATGGATTCTATTTACAAATCACCCACAGTCCTATTTATTAATTTATTCCCGATCTCTTTTTCAAGTGCCTGTCATCATAAAAGACATTTCAGTTTTAAATTTTAAGTTAACTTTAAATCACTAATGCTTCCACAGTTTGTGAATATGTCTTTTGTTCCTATTTAAGTTTTAGAGTACTTTATATTGCCATGTACTGGGTTTTTACCTTCTAATACCCTCTTCATTTATGTCCTAATCTCTTTCTGCTTGGCAAAATCATGGACTATAATCCCTTGCCAAAATTTAAAGCTGCATAGAAGAAGTATTCATGCACTATCTATAATGAAAATGTGTTCAGTACCTTTTAAAAACTGATTCAAAATGTTAACATGATGATAAAGAGTGGTTAGAAAGATTTCTTTATACACCTAAAATCAAGATGAGACATGTTACCACTAAACTTTAAAACATATTTCCTAGTATAAAGAACTGTTTAATATAGCAATAACAATAGCATTAACATGGATTTTACAACTCACAAGATTTATAAGTGATGCTGACCTGTTTTCTCTTTTGTTACCCGCTACTTCCATGGTTATGAGTTTAAACGCCTTTTAATATTTGATAGCTTACACATGGCCAAAGCAATACAGTTTATAACCTGGAGTATACTGTAACTAACCTTATAAAATTGTAATATAGCCATGTAAAAATAATTATATATTTTGTTTTGCTGTGGTCACTTAAAGTGGCAACTACCCCAGTTGCTGTTTTCTTATTAGGTAAACAAAAATGAATATCTAATTTGTTTTTTAAAAAGCCAGCTTATCTTTCGCTATGAAGGCACTAATGCATTAATCTTGATTGATTGAGTGTTTAAAAGAAATGCAGATGTTATAAATGGACATTATGTTAAATTTACAATGATCCAGGGTATATGAAAGTCGTTAAATTAAAATATCACATTTCTGATCTTTGGACTGCGTTGTTCTTATACAGACATTCAGCCTTCTAGGGCAGGGCATCTTTGTGGTAGTTTCCAGTGACCTCTAAGTCTTTCTTTCTCTGGTTGTCTGTTTTTGGAGTGTTTCACTCTTTACTCATTACAATACCACAGTCAAAGCTGAAAGGTTCAAATGAGATTTGGGAATTCCTCCTTTCAGTTCGTGAACCTTTTAGTGTTTACTATGCACTCAGTGGCATGAAATTACCACAAGTTGAACGCTGCTAATTAGAAAATCTGAAGTGCCTTAAAATTCACAACTCCTTGGACACTGATACAATGCCACAAGAGGAAAAGTCCATGTTGGACCTCAGTGACAGGTTGCAGCCAAAATTCAAATTCATAAAATGTATAAAGTGAACCTTCAGATATGTACATATGGTACATGTGCAACAAGCAAATTTCCTACTTATTACACATAGAAGCAATCCCTAAGACATCTCATTAGGTATAATAATATTCCAAAATAAAAAATAGAGAAATGCTCAAAGAGAGAGGATACAATATTGGTAATCACAAATGCAAGAACAAAGAAGAGAAATTTAGAAGAATATGACAAGGAAGAACAACATCATCAAACTCAAGGGTAAGGGTACACAAAGGACTAAGCAGAAGGAGGACCACAAGTTCAAGAATACCCAGGTCAACTTAGCAAGACACTTAGTGTCAACTTAGCTCAACACACAAAACGTAAAATGGGCTGAAGATGTAGCTCAGTGTTAAAGCACCTCTAGATTCAATCCTTAGTATTAAAAAAAAGAAGTAGACCAGCAATTTGAGTACAATGGATATGCAAAAGTGGACTTTGAAAAACTGGCAACTTGCAAAACACTGGGGAACTTGTCTATAGCAATTTGTGTGTATGCATGTGCAATATGTGTGTGGAAATTGCAAAAATGTATTTTCCAACTATTATTCATTTGACAATAAAAATACATTTTATAATATTGTCACATTGTCATTATAGAAGAATACACTTCTATAAATACATTGTATTTTTCATTTTTATTCACCTGATAAAACTCTACTAAAAGGGCAGAAAAAAATTAAAAGGTATAAATCTACAAGCACAGAGATGAAAGTTATTAGCCAACTAGAAACATGAACAAAATTGTGCATGTAAAAAAGACATAGATAAGGGAGAACTCACTTAGATTTCTGCTTCCTCTATTAAGGTTCACAATGTGTTGCAACTCAGAAAACATTGAGGAATTGAAGATAGTTGGTATGTTTAAAATCAAGAGACAGAAATGAGGACAAAAACAAAATACTGGATTAAAAGTGTATCAGACCAGACCCTAGCTTCCAGCACAGCCATGTGTAACTGGTGACTGCTGCTAGTCAGCTAGAGAAGTGGTTCATTTTCTTTCATTGAGGTTGGACCAGATTACCTATGGACCTTGGTCTTGCCCTCAGCAAGGGTGGCACAAGGTGAAAATGTGGCCCTGTCCTGGTCCTGTCTCACAGTGAGATTTCCAGCCTTTACTCCAACATGTCCAGGCAAGAAATGAAGATTCTGTTCTAAGAAAATAATGAAACCCCCCCCAAACATGAACCAAAATCCTGTAGACATCAACAATGAAGGTAAATAGGGCTTCCCACCAAGATGGAGCATGTGCCACATACATGGATGAGGGAATCTCCAAATTGCCTCTTGATACTACATTTTAAAATATGAATGTGTAGAAAATGCCAGTAAACATGTTAGGAGAGGTAAAACCTGAAACAAACAAAAAAGAATACAAAACAGATTGGGAAAATAGAAAAAGTACACAGAACAAAAGAAAAAAAAGACAATTATAATTACTTTTCCTGGAGCAGTAAGAAATATCAAGGAAAGCCAGAATATTAACAAACAAGCATTCAGAGATCAAGAAATTGCACCTGGAAAATGAGAATGTTATAAGAAATAAAGCACCATAAAAGTTTCAAAGGTCAAACTCAAGGAGAGGTGGGATGTGGACTGTAGCAAAGTGAGCTGCAGGAAACTAAGGCAGGAAATTTAAAAATACAGGAAATGGGTGAATCTAAAGCAGGAAAAAGTCAAAAGCTATTCCCAAGCTGATGGGGATGAGGGGTAAATCTTTTAGTCTGTCTCAAAGCAATCAGTCCAGTTAGAAAAAGAGAAAAGGAAGGATATCTCCAAAAAAAAATCAATAAAATGTGGAGGTTGTCTGATATATTTGATACACTTATAGGAATCTGTATCTTTATTAAAGCATCTATACACAAATGAACAAATGATTAGAGATATAGAAAAACAAGCAAGCAAAATGTATATAGATACTTGTTAATCCTCCACAAAAGAAAACAAATCATTAAAAAAAAAAAAAATGGAAACCAAAACGACAGTACTCTGGCTTTCTCCCTTTTCAAAGATCGCTAATAAATATACGGTATGAAAATGAGCTGAAGAGTGGGTATGAAATCAATCCCTTTGTTCCACTTGCAGATATGAATTATCTGATTTCATAAAGTTGTTGATCATGAGTTACAGCCATGGTGTGGCCTACATTTAATTAGGTCTTTTAAAGAGTTTCTTATAAATTCAACGAGAGAAAGTTTTCTAACCACCTATCTTATTCCACCCTCACCTTCATGCACATGCGTGCCCACACACACACACACACACCACATTAACAGGCTCCACACCTCCAACTCTATAAACACTTTTAACCGCCAACATTGGATTAGAAAATGAAACCCCTCCATTCCCCGCTTGGTAGCCTCTTTCATCTAACAGATAACAGCTATGTGGTTTTCTTTCTTTCTTTCTTTCTTTCTTTCTTTCTTTCTTTCTTTCTTTCTTTCTTTCTTTCTTTCTTTCTTCTTCCTCCTCCTCTT